CTTAATAAACAAGTGGACATAGTTAGGTTCTAGTGTCTCACCAAACTATAGGACAGTCCCTCGCCAAACTATAAGACAGTCTCTTAACAAATAGTAGGGCAAGACTATACCTTCATGCACCAGATGACAACCATTTATACTATATGAATTTTATGTACTCATCTCCTTAGGTGAACTTCCACCAATTGATTATGCAATGTATGATGTTTACTATTTTCACAATTTCATTTACTTAATGACAACATGTTAGGTTCACGCTATAGCACAACCAAAGTGAGCATCAATATCATTTTCACATGCTCGCTTCACTTCAATTCTCAATTTTATAACACAATCCAATTACTTAGTTAGCCACACATATCACATTCTCATATTGATGTAACCATATTATTATCACATCACATACCGCACATTTCACATTTTAGCACATATTTATAGTTTTAAAAATCACTTAAAATTAAATTTCACTTTTTAATTTGAATAGGATTCATACAATATCATAGAGTTCATGGCATGCTTGCACATTCACAAATTCAATCATGCACACAATTAAACACATTTTCACATTCAAACTCAATTAACAAACAACTATCCAAAATAGGATTCTCTTGGTTACCTCAAACTTTTAAAAGGTCAAATGTTTACTTTCCAATAACTTGCTTCTAAGCTTATTTCCAAGCCAAATATGGTGTTCGATATAAAATCTCCCTCACTATTCCTCGATTAACTCTTAATCTTAATGAATTAAGAGATTATCTCAAGGTAGGTGACAAGTTTGCCAAATTTCATAAATGGGCTATATAAATAGAATCTCAAATCTACAATATTTAAAACATTCTAAAAGAACTTTACAATGGAAAATTAGAGTTCAATTTATATGCAGAAGCATGGAATCATAAAAAGAATCAGTGAATTTGTGTAATGGTAGAAAACAGTGAATTTATGTAGAAATAGAGGCTTACATTGTGGCTCGTGAGACTTTGTGCCACACCCTACGGTTCAGGCACAATGTGCTGTGGCACATTGCATGTTTCATGATGGCAAAATTTTGCTGTCATTTGACAGCACCTGAGGCAACTTTCAACGAGCCCTATTGCTCCATCTAATATTTAATTGACGTGAGTTAGGTGTCTATAGAGAACTATATACTAGCTCTAGCAATTGGTTTTGGTTTCACACTTAAATTATTTCTCATACAAAAGTTAGATACTCATTTCAAAATTCTCTCTTATTCATCATTTACATAAAACTTGAGTGCCAAAAACTCATACCAACAACCAAAAGCCACAAATACCACCCAGATTACATTCAATAGACTAAAATGGACCAGTGCAACACACCTTATTACTCACATTATTATTGCTCAAACCTTTGGTCTAAAAAATAAAAAGGGGAGATCTAATCTCACAATTCATCAATTAATCCGCAAAAATCAATTGTCATACGCATCTCTTATTTGCACTAGTATTTTGATTCTGTTATAAATATCATAATCCATACACCAGTACCCTAGGGCCCAAAATACACTATATAATTTAACAAAACATGTAATGCAAGTAAGTCACAATTGAAGTATCCCTAGTTGACAATATCATACAACATACACATATCAATGCTCAAAAAGTAAAGGAGACCTACTAATAAGATCTTTATCTTATGCCTCAGGTTATTTTCCTTTGTCCTGCCCTTTTGAGCTAATCCCTATACTATTGAAGATAGTAGGGTGAGTACAACTATTTAGTAACTAATGTCCATCCAATTCATACTAATATATGTTAATCAATTTAAATACAAGTGGAAAAAATAATTAATTTCAAATCATATAACATGTTCAAGAGCATAACTTAAATTCTCATTCATAGTACACATACTCGTAATAAATGGTTGAAATAACACTTTTACATATGGAAACAAGGCTCATCACATGATTTGTTTCTCTAGAGTCACAATACAGACAATTATGTGCCATTTTATCACTATATGTATGATCACACCTTTTTTATATCCTCCTTATTTCTCTAACATGAAACTGTATGCTATAACTTATTAGGATCATCTATACATTGAGACTATCTTAGCCAAAACACGCATGAGAGGTTACCCAATCAAGGCTTCCCAAACACCTGTGAGACACAAGTTTTTCCCATTTCTCTCACTATAAGGTGTCATTCTCCTAAACTAGTTTTCTCGTTGAATAAGTGGATAACTAGATAAATTTGAGTCCTTCGTTAAACTAGTGAGACAGTTCCTCATCAAACAAGTGGGACAATATAAATCATAAGTCCATGCTAACTATTGAGCTTTGATAAAAGCTTTACCACATGAATTTAATTATCTACTCCTCTTCTTAGGTAAACTCCCACATTTCATGATCATGTAATGCATATTTATGCAACGGCTTACAGCATGTAAGTATTTACTACCCAAGCATGCACAACATCATCATCGTACCCATCTCAAACATGAAAATCACATAATATACATAATCAAATCATTGAACTCCACTTTGCCTATCTCGTTCAACTTCTCATTTACAAATTCATTGAATTCCTCAACTATACATTTCATTGAACGTTACAATTTCAATTTCATTAAACCATTCGCATATCAAGTCATTGACTTCACTTAGCACATAATAGTAGAACTCCCTGTCAACTCATATCATTAAACTTTAAAGAAATCATATCATAAAAATACACCAATAGTGTTTTCAAAGAATTTTGCATATAACATGTCATTGAACTTTGTAAAATCATTTCAGTGAATTTTTCAAGCAATTCATGCCACACTTGCATTTCATTCAAATTCACATATTTAAATCACCAAATATCAATCATCAAATTAATTAACACATAGAAATACAAGAAAGAATTCCTTCGGTTACTTTAAACTTTTGAAAGGTCAAAGGTTTCACCCTTCAATTACATACTCCTAAAGCTTCCACAAAACTTGAATAGTGCCAATATAATTATTCTACAATAAATTGCAATATACTTCATCAACATCCCTTTTTGGATAATGTTCGCTATTAACTCAACCACTTCTTCACTCTTAAAATTCATTCTCTTCTCATATAAGAGCACCTATAAGGTTTCTTAACTTCCTCTAATTTACATTAACTTTATTAAACTCTTACATAACTATTAATGGAGCCACATTGCCACAACCATCACATTTATGGTGGAATTTAAGTTCATTTAATGCCCTCTAACCACCAACAATCACAAAATCATAAATGTTAGGTTCTATTAGCTTAATCAACTCTCATTAACTCTATTTAAGTCAATAGATTTTGACCCATAACTTCTATAGACCGAAAATCATCATTCTCAATCAAAACCTAACTTTCTAACTAGAGAAAATAGAAGATGAAGGGAAGAAATGAGTTTAGAAACCCTACCTTAAGTGTTTATAAGCTCTAAAATACTTCAAATTTTTTAATCTTCTAAGCCTTAGTAAAGTTCTTTAGTTGCTCCTTCATTTCTCTTTTGTTCCTCTCTTCTTTTGCATCATTTTTGGGCTCTTGTGTCTATAGAAAAGTGGCTATATGCCACAGTGAACTCACCATGTGTTGTTGTTCATGGCATAAAGAAGTCCCACCCAAGGTGGATCATCTACAAGCCGCAACATATGGCATAAAACTTTACCCTTTAGATTTTCTTCCTCTTTCATGTTTGAATGATCCGACTTCACTTTGAACCCACATTTAGGATTGAAGTTATAACCAAACACGCCCATTAGACTTTTCTGGCCACACGCCTCACTTAACAAACTCAATTACTCTAATTGGACTTAGTTATTAGGTTTTAAATTTTGAGGATGTTACACTTGAATGATTAGTTTACAATTAATCAAGTCCAACTCACTAACATTGTCAAATACACACTTCCAAGCTCTCACTTTTCACTTCTAAGATACTCAATACCCTTATTTCTTACATTTAGGCATGTCTTTTAAGTTTATTAACTCCTTTTAGCTTCTAACATTTTTATTAAACTCTTAAACCATTATTAATGGTTCCTAACAAACTCCGACTCCTCTAGTTATTACAAATTTTTGGGCATTAATGCCCTCCCAACTGTCAAAACTTGTAAACTCATAAATACTAAGTTTAGATACCTCAAACAATTTCTATTAACTTTATTTAAGTTAATAGATTCGGACCTAATACTTAAATGGTCCTCAAATCACTTTCTCTATTCAAACCCTAACTAAAATCTTTAAGAAAATGGAAGGTATGGCTTAAGGAACTTACCTCAAGTTATTAAAAGATTTAAAATACTCCTAAAGCTTCAAATCTTCAAGCCTTAGCAGAATAAAGGATGTTCTCTTCATTCTCTCCTTCCTTCCTTTCTGTTTTTGAATTTTCAAACTTAAAATGCTCTTAAAATCTTTCTGTTTTCGAATCTTAAGTCTTAATAGAACAAATAATTTAATACAGGTCTTTTTTTTAAAAAAGACAATGATTACATCTCGAAAAATTAAAAATGCTTTACATTTTTAAATATTCAGTTCCTTAAAAAATATATTATATTTTTAAATGAAGAGAGTAACTAATTTTTAGTTGTTGCACTTCATTGGCAAATAAAAAATTGCACACTATAACTTATAATTTGCTAATCCTTCTTGAAGAAACTATTCATTTCTCAAAATAAATTAATTACTACTTTTTAGTTACGACTTTATTTTAAATTTTGAAATAAAAATAAATATGTGATTTCAAAAGAAAAAGTTAGATAAATTTCATGAACTAGAAAATAATTTTCACTTTTCATAGTAACTAATTACTATTTGTATATGAGATATTTTTTTTTGTCATTTTTTCATAAAAATAAAAATAATTTTAAAAGTACATTAGTATATATATATTTTTGTTCAAAATACATTAGCATATTCAAAATTCAAAATTTTAAATAAAATGCTGATAAAAATCTTATTTAATATGAAATATTTTTATACCAAATTCTTTCTAAAATTAATTATAAATCCGATAAAACACATTCTCGGGAGTGGCGGATCCATTTCTCTTCGTCGACGAACAAGCATTCCACATCCCGCCGGACGCCGTCCACCTTTGTCAGCCCTGCGTGGTTGTTCTCGGGCTAGCAGTGAAGAAGGTTCGAACCCTAAGGCTTTTTCTACTCCCAAAATCCGGTGAGATTGATTTGTCCAATCTGGCTTTGAATCTAGATTTAATTTGTTCCTCGCGGCATCTTTTCCCTGCGTGGTTGTTCTTGGTTTGTTTTTAATTTTTCATTTTAACTTCTCTTTGAATCTGGTTGTGTAATCGTTTGAATATCGATGCTTTTGAATTTGGGAATATTTATATGTTGAGTTTATTTATCTATTTTTTTTGTACTAGTGTTTGCTTGAATGGTGTGTAGTTGGCTACTATACTTCTTCCCTTTTCATTTTGATTACTAGCGACTTGTATGATTTGAATTGTGTTGTTTTGCAATGTTGGATTTGGTGTGTACTGGCATTCTGTTGATCAATCTTTTTATATCATCATCAATTGTGGAAAATTCTCAAGGTATTTGTGATGCATGATCTTGCAATTGACTTGGCTCGAGTCCTGTCAAAGTATCTGGAACAAAAATTAAATTAAAAGTGTATTATTATATCAACTATGCATATTTCAAAGATTTCAGTGGGGGCATGAGTGTAGTATTGGTCCGCCTATGGTTATGCCTTTATAATGCTATTGATTTACTAAAGCATGTGAAGTTGAGTGACATATACTCCCTCTGGAGTAAAATATAAGGCATTGGCAACTAATTCACGGTTTTCAAAAAAGTTTAGTTGAAACTTTAATTCTTTTTTTAATTACATCTTTCCAATTTTTTCCTCATTAAAGACCCTATATAAGTGCTTTGATAATGATAATTAAAATTTTAAGGCATCATTTTTTTTCTCAAAAAGAGGATTAAATGAAGTAGGGGTATAGTTGAAAAAATAATTGTAGATGTTAAACAATATCCTATATTTTGGACTAAGTAAGGCTTCTAGAAGATGCCTTATCTTGTAGTATGGAGGGAGTACAAATTTTAAGGGGTTTATTCTAAACTGGTTGTAGTGTCATACTAAAGCATCCAATATTTTCAGGATTACTTCAACAAAATTTTTAATTTATGGCCTGCTGTTAACACAATATGTCTAGTTAGTTTGTCAAAGAAGAATTGAGTGAGAGATGAATATTCTGTCTGTTTTCCAGATTGGTCAGTTGATTGGTTTGTTTTATCTCCAGTTTCTTGTGTCCATGTGCTTGCTTGCTGATGGTCCTGCTTAGCTTTAGTACTTTTACTTCATTGTAAACAATTTCCTGTTTGCTTGTTTTCTCAGATCTCGTTGGTGGTTGTTGGCTCTTTGATTTCATGAAATTTGGTGCCCATGGCAAGCCATCCTGGAAAAGCTACTCCATCTAACGGGTCTGTGTATGTGTGCAACTTGCCTTATGGAACAGATGAAAATATGTTGGCTGAATATTTTGGCACCATTGGATTGCTGAAGGTATGGAGTTACCAAGTTACTGCAAGTATAATCCTGGTTAATCTTCTATCCATGCAATTGTTTGGATATATCTCAAACTATTATGAGACTTGAGCTTTGAGACTGATGGTAGAAACTGAAATATTCACACAAGTGAGCTACATTTTGTTACTTCTTTCTTCAAATCAAAATATACTGTTGGTATTAGCAGGCCATCTGTAAGTACTTTTGTAAGCGTTCTTTGAGCTTAGAGGCATGTCCTAGCCCTGGTGAGCTCCCTGGATCCAGCTCACCTAATAAACTTTCCCTTACTTAAAAGAATACTGTTGGTATGCCAATATAATTATAGATCTCAGTGCAAGCAATGTTGCCAATGATTGCAATAAGATTTATGGTGAATGGTGTTAAGCCTTGATTTACGGTGGGAGAGCAATATTGAGGCTTCTTTTCATTTTAGAAAAAAAGTATATAAAAAATCAATTGGAGAAATTGAGAATCAAATGTACATACTAATGTCGGAATAATTACAATAAGTTAAGATTATCACTTAGCTAAAAAAACTACCAATCGTTCCTCTAAAATTTACATAAGCACAGATGAACCACAACTGCAGCCTACGAAGTACAGGGTTTCATGTGTGATAGAGACTGGACTTTTCCATTATACATGACAGATGACACAACACTATGCAATGCTTTAAATTGTATTTAATCCGACACTTCTCATGTTGTTGTGCTTATTTCTTTAGCGTCATATCTCATGTTTGTGTCAATATCCATGCTTTCTAGGAAATAACTTTTTGGTAGTTGGTTACTTTATAAAATTCATGAGAAGGGATCCTTTGCCAAACCACCTGGAGAAGTTTAGATTTTTGACCCTTCTAGTCACAACAAATGGAAGCTAAGGTAGTATCAGTTTATGAACTACTTTATAGGGGCACTTAGGGAGTATCAGTAGTATGAACTACCTCAATAGGTAGTTTATGAGGGAGGGTTCCCATCCTACTTAAGTACTTATCTATTGGAGTCAAAATTAACTGGTAGCTTCAGAAAGGACTGCTGGCAGAGGGTTTTGACTGGCAAGGAAGTCAAGTAAATTGTCATGAAGTGTAGTTGTTGAAATGTTGGCTCCCCAAGGACTGTTGGTTGATGGGGATCCTAAGTAGGTTGATTCTCTCACCTCAATAAGTGGTTTTTGGGGAAAGGTTTCTCACCCCACTTTGACACCCCTCAATAACTCATTCCTGTAGTTAGGGGAGAATGAGGAACATTGTGATAGCTGTGTTTACGGAGATTATAAGGAGCTCTAGTTTTGGTTTTTTAGGTAATGGAGGGTTGAAAGAGATTAAGAAGGATATTAATTATTTGACAAATTTGGAATGACAGGTTAATATAGGAAAATGATTTTTTTTTAAATAGAAGTATTTTGAAGCATATAGTAGGAAAGTTATTAGGAATTATTAGGAGTTATTTGGCTTGCACGCATGCTCGGTCCTTATTAGTAGAATAGAAGTTGAATTCAATTATATTATTTTATCAGACTTAAAGAAAATATTGATCAGTTGTGATCTCTGAACTCTTCCTCCCTCTCCATTCTTTCCCTTTACTACTTGCACTTTCCTTTCCATTCATCCCATGTTCTCTCCATTCTCTCCCTCTTTGCATCTGTTCTAATCAGTAACTGATTTAATATTCATTGTTGTTGTTGTTGTTATTGTTATCATCTCATTTTTTTTCTCTTTTCCATATTTCTCCTTTCTCTTCATATGTTTTCCTTCTCATTCTCACTCTAATTTTCCATTTTCTGCAGAAAGATAAGCGTACAGGGAGACCAAAGATATGGTTATATCGAGACAAAGAGACTAATGAACCAAAGGGAGATGCTACTGTTACATATGAGGATCCACATGCTGCTGTAGCTGCAGTTGAATGGTTTAACAACAAAGATTTTCATGGTAGTATTATTGGAGTTTATATAGCAGAGTCAAAAAGCAAGGATGATCAAGCATATAATGCGGCTGGTGAACCAAATGTTGGTGGTGCCATTGAACTGGAGGAAACAACTATGGATGTGAATGGAGGTGGTGGAAGAGGTAGAGGTCGAAATGATTCTTCAGGCAAAGCGTGGCAACAGGAAGGGGATTGGTTGTGTCCAAATACAAGGTCTGTGATATGAGATTGGTGAGCAGCTCTTTCTTGCTCTTCTACTCACTGTTTCAGTAGTTATACATGATTCGATGTAGAAAGATTCATGTCATGTTGTATTTTTTAAGCAGTTGCTCCAATGTGAATTTTGCATTTCGTGGTGCATGCAATCGCTGTGGAAGTGCTCGTCCTGCTGGTGCTGCTGGTGCTGCAGGGGCTGGTGGCCGTGGTAGGGGACGTAATGGGCAAGATTCTGGAGGCACTGGCCGTCCAGTTGGTGGAGGACTGTTTGGTCCTAACGATTGGCCTTGTCCTATGTATGACTCTGCACACTGTTTCATATTAATTTTCTGTTCTGATTTCTATTTAATCAGTTTTATTTGAAGCCAGCATTAACCCCCGTGCATTTGCCCTGGGATTTCAATTTTTTTCCCTTGATAATAGGGTTTGAATAAGTAAATAACAATGATGTCAATAGATAGTAAAATAACGATGTTCTCCCATTTCACTTTCGTATATATATATATATATATATATATATATATTTGTGGTGTACTTTCAAGTTTGTTGGGTTTTCATGATAGCATATGGAAATGTTACATAACGGAGTTATCCACATTGGTGCTATTCAACTTAGTGGAAATGTAATCAACCAATTTGAAGAGAGAGAGATATCTGTACACGTGTACATGAGAAACCTATGACCCATGTTTGTAAAGAAGGCCGGAGTAAGTGTGATAATTTCTGGCACTAGTGATGCCAACTCATTAGCACTCCAGCCTCTTTGTGCTTCATGAGATAAACATTCTGCCTAATTATCTGCTTTGGTGTTATTTAACATAGGAGAAACTGTAATCAAGCAGTGTGAAGATGGGTAAAGTGGTGTGGGATGTAGATAGGTATCTGTATACATCTATATGAGACACTGACCTATGTTTTTAAAGAAGGCTAAAGCAGGAGTGATAATTTCTTGTGTCATTGATGCAAACTCATTAGAGCTCCTGCCTTTTTGTGCTTTGTAAGATTGGTGCATGGGTTTGTTCATTTCTTTTCTTTTACAATGTTAGACTTTTTTTTTTTTAATAATTACAATATTAGACTTTTAGCTCAGGGATTTTGTCTGATAATGACAATAGGGGTAAGTATCATCAGTAATTTCTTTGTTTCTTCTGCTTTCCTTTTCTAGGCTTAGATTTTTGGGCCTGCTATTGGAATTCCATTCCTTATCACTCCTGTCCTCATGGCACTTCATCATGCATTGCCAATGTGCTTTAATTCCAACAAAACATGTTTCCATAATGAGCTATACTGTTTGACTCGATATAATGTGGCTTGTTATAGATTTTATTCGACATTGATATATTGATTGTTATAATAATTTGCGACCTTTAACTAATATTGTTTACTATTATGAGTTTTTTGTTTGGCCAAATATATTGTTGGATTTAGTAAAACTTGGTGTGCTTCAAGGTTAATTCTATCACCATGCAGTGACTATGTGGTTGTTGGCTGTTGATTAGGTTTATGCCTCTTGCGCAAGATTTTACTATTCTTAAACTTGAATATTGACTTGAAGCAATTACATGCTAGGTTGCATAGATACGGGTATGAGTATCTGATATGATACGGCATGATATGACAAATTTTCAAAGTTTTAAGATATGGGTACGGGAATATTTATAATATATATTTCAATATTTTATAATATAGATATATGTATTTTGATTTTTAAACAAGAATTTTTAAAGTAATATAAGGATATTTATAGCAATCAACCAAAATATTAAGTGTTAGAATATGGGCTATGTATGCAAAAGTATTCTACAAGTATCATATGGGATATGGATATGTTCACTTTTTTGAATTATCCGTGCTTTATAGGTTACATGTGTATCTACTCCATCTGTGTATCTAGCATAACGACATTGCATGTTGTGGTTCATGCAGGTGTATTTTAGTGAATAATTAAATAATATTATTTGTTTTCTTAGGTGTGGCAATATCAATTGGGCAAAGCGAACAAAATGCAATATTTGCAATACAAATAAGCCAGGTCATAGTGAGGGTGGTGTAAGGTATTATCTATAATTCTTTTGGTATTTCTGTACTGCTAACTAAGATCATATAGGTGTTACTGTCATGTTATAGTTGTTTAAATCTTGTGATATCATTTCAATAGGCCATTCCACATGTTTCATGGTATTATACTTAATATATTGGGAAGGGGATTTAATAGCAACATAAAATGTTGATTCTGAATCTTCATGAAATGTGCACTTCTCTAGAAATCTTTATGTCAGACTTGTTGACGATCTTTCTTTGCTGTTGAAATTCCTTGACCTGTTCTCTCGTTTGCTTGATAGAAGGATTTGGTGTTTGGATCTTTAGTTTCTTATTCATTTTAATTTTTTGGTTTCAAGTCCAACGGCACATTTTCTTCCCTTATCAAAATATTTCTGTGAAGGCTCCTTCTAAGTTAAAGGTTTTTGTTTGGTCGGTAATAATAAAAGAATTAATATAAATGATTTGAGCAAAGTCAATGGTCCAATATGGTTTACCATCTTAGGTTTGTGTGATGTGTATTAGAAGTTCAGAGATAAATTTCTAGCTTTTTCTAATTCGTGAAGTTGCTTGCAGGTTTGAAACGGACTGTTTGATTTTCTATTTTTAGTGAGAACTGGGTTTCTCTAGTTGATTAATGGGTATTTTAACTATTGAGTTGAAGGTTTTCAGGCAATGGAAGGAGTATGATATCATTTAGTTGTTGAAAACTTACCATTCATAATGTCAAATGTCTGGGAGAAATTTGATTTTGTCATCATGTGGGGTTCCATGAACCTGGAATAAACAACCATGGCTAAAGATTACTTGTTATACCAGTGATTCATGGGCAACCCAAGAAGTGATCATGGCCCTTCACTCATTAACGTTTGTCTTGCCACCAATATGTTATTTAAGGAGAACTGTATTATTCAGGAACATATTAATGATTTTTTCACTAGGCCATTGACAAAGTACCGCTGAAATAACTGAGGCTTTCAGGGTTACTTTTATTATCCCAAACTCAGTCTCACCCTGTGTTAAAAAAAAAAAAAATTTTTTTTGATGTCTGTGCGGTGCAAGCCTGAGGAGCTTATGTGTTAGGTTGGCGTTTTCTTTTTGACGTGGAAAATTTATTGGAATGTAGCTAGTTTTACACTAATGACTTCAAACTATTACATGTTTTTGTTTCCTGGGCAATGTTGGTAGTTATTTCTTGCTTTACAACTTATATTTACTGCCGGCATTGCTACTTGGTTTATTTTGATTCATTTCCCTCAAAGAATTTGTTGAAATGACGTTGCTGATTTAAGCTTGTACTTCCTGACCATCACACAGAGGAGGGCGAGCTGGAGGTTACAAAGAGCTTGATGAAGAAGAAATAGAGGAAACTAAACGACGCAGGCGGGAGGCTGAAGTAAGATCATGTGAGAATGGGAATAGACACTCATATATGTCATGCTTGTGTTGTAATGTGATCTTTTTTACTTTTGTCAGGATGATGGTGAGTTGTATGATGAATTTGGTAATCTTAAGAAGAAATTTCGTGCGAAAACACAGCAAGCTGAAGCTGCAAGAGTGCTTCCTGGATCTGGCCGTGCTGGATGGGAGGTTGAGGACCTAGGTATTTATTTTTTTTAAAAAATTAGAATGGTTCATTCTCCATAAATTTTGTATCCACTGCCTTTTAAGGTTATTGGGGGGAAATGAGTTGAGATACTCCAGAGCTGGTTGAGCTCAATTTTCTTTCACATTCTATTACTAGAAAAGTCCACCAGATGACACTTGCTGAACATGTTCACCAAGTTGGACCTGAAATAACCATGTACTTTCCAATATTCATGACAGGGATTGACAAGGATGGGCGAGAGAGGAGCAGAGACAGGGGAAGGGAACGTGATGAGGTGGAGAACCGGAACCGAGATCGACATGACCGAGAAAGGCAAGGCATTCGGAATGTAGACAGGGACAGAGGGAGAGATCGAGATTGGGATTATGATGACCGAAATAGAGATTATGGGAGAGATAGGGAACGAAGTAGACACCGTCATTAAAGATGGCAGCAACAGTTTTTTAAGCATCGTCTACCTTGACTAGAACTGGTTATGTTGCCTTTCTTTGTTAGGAGGTTTCAATTGAATCCTTGAATTTGGAATACTGCCGAATTCTTGAATGGAAACAGCGTCTTTTCATGGACAAAAAAGTGACTATATTTTAGTTCTTTTTTGGGTGAAGTATTTGTGGCTTTTTGTTGGAGGTGACATCTTTCCAAAATTCCGATGTACAAGAAAAGATAACAGAAAAATCTTACGAGCTCATGTGAACGCACAAGATACTTTTGAGAAAATTACCCCTCATTTAAGGCCAGACACATGATGAATTTTAGCCACGTGATGAGATGCTTTATGTTGTCATGACCAAGTTTTTCTGACGAATGCCCGTTTAACTGGCAAAGATTCTCTTGAATTGCATCAACCATGATCTGATTGTTTCAAACTATTTTTTCCATCGTCATCAAAATTAGCCTAAGGAACCAGAATTACTCCAAAGCTAAATTTGTAGTTTTTGCAATTTGTCACGTTTGATTTCCTTTATAGATACAGACTGACCGATTAAGATGAAAAGGATATCAAATTGTAATAAGGGATATGTGTGTGTATATATTGTATGTGTATAAAAGGGGAATGTATCTCTCTTCCTCCTATAGCACCCATAATTAGCAATAGCAATAGTGAATTTCCATCCTCTACTTTTCTGTGGATTCAATTCGAATTCCCCCCACCACCGCCCAAAATATATATATATATATATATATATCTGCCTCTCTTTAAACAGGATTCTTCTGGAGATTTTGTCCCCCAAGATCGACTAGTGGTGCTACTGCTTCACATCATCTTCATCAGCTCAATCCATTGTTCAGCTCAATTTATTTGTAGATCCATTCATTAGCACGAGCGCCAGACTCATCCATGTCTATGAAAATGCTTACGGCCTACTTCAAATCACATCAACAAACGATTATATCCTAAATTGAGACCAATCACTTTGATATTCAATCATAAGACCAAAACATTACCTTTCCGATGCGAGGCCGTTCTTTTGACTTTGCTAGGCTGTTCCGTATATGTGACACAGCTCCCCAACACTTTAATGTGTTTGCTATGTCATCAAGCCTCAATATATACTCTTCTTCACTCAATGGGAATGATCTCTACAACCAAAATATTATTCCTTTAAATGAGACAAGAAAAGTACATTCCTCTGAAGATCCATGTGGTTTTGAAATTGAATGATAAAAAAAAAAACAAAAGTCCATCTTAAACTTGAAACCAGGGGGAACAAAGGTACCATTACCTGCTCCATGTACTTCCACATGACATTCAAGGCAAGAAGATTTCTTCCCATGAATTCCTAGCACACATCATGTAACCCATAAAATATGAAAAATCACTCCGACTCAAGTTATAACTTTACAATGTTATAAGGTGGAAAGCTATAATAATATATTAACTGGTGATTGATCACCATTTTATCTAATTAGAGCATCAAAGTTTCTTTCAGTATTTCAATCTACTTGAATGAGCAGCCGCTGAAATCTGGATAACGGCAACTCCGCTTATTTCCCAATACACATAGCTTGGGAGACATGCTAGAAATCATAGGTCAAAACTGAATTCACTCAGTCACTCTTATATCAAGTCTCGCTTACAAAAAATATACCTTTTTTATCAGTTGAACATCATAAGACCTTCCATATTTGTCCCTAATAAGAGTTGCAAGGTCAATCCCACTAAATTTAGAATCATCCATACCAACTATTTTCTCCAGATTTTCTCTTAGAAATTCACTATTCACCTGAACCATAATTAAGAGAAACAGAATCAGAAATATCCATGCGAAGGAAAAGTAATATCCGGCATTCAAAACGCCAATCAGAAATTATGAATACAATTGTATATAGTACGGAAAATAGATATGATTTGCAATAAGTTAAAAATCAAGTCAGAGAAAGTATATTCATTGAACTCAACCCCCAACATTGGTTAATTGAAACATTTTCTATTCAGCTTTAGATTGAAAAGAAGTCACATCATAATGGCAATAAACTGAATGGATACTGATAGGATATTAAAGATTCTAATATGTAAAAGAATAAACACACGCTCCAACTGTCCAAACGTTAAATTATTGAAATGTGCTATATATATATGGAAAGATATTTCATAATGCAAAGAGGTAGGAACATAAGGAAGTTGAGAAGTGAACAAACCCCTCCCATTTCACTATTGTGACATTTGTTGTTATCAGTTTCATCCGAATCATCAGGACTCATACTGTCATTCACTCCAGCGGAAAAGATGGGCCCCCATTTCCTGGAACTTTGATGGTATCCAACATTAAGTAAACCAACGCCTCTGCAAAGAGAATCTGAACAAGGGTATCCTGAAAATGGAACCTTACTAATGCTTCCTTTGGTAAGATGCTCCTGAAATCTGAGGGGCCAGCTACACTGGTAGTGGTGGGTCGATATGCTCATGGTATCCTATCCTGCAATTACTTATAATTTTGAAGACTAACCTGAAAAAAATAAGTCAAAGAATGTTTATGATGAATATATATGATCCTTTATTTTTCAGACTGGTTAAGATCCGAGACATCAGTGAGAAGTTAACTAACCACCTACTTCATGGTTATATCACAAAGCTACATCTGATACCTTTTCCTCTATGCCTCTTGAAACTAAGAAAAACTTTTTTTTTTTTTTTAAATTTAGTAAAGCAGCAGGTCTGCATTGACTTTGCAAATCGAGATTCCGAGTTTTCAACTTGAAGAGAGATCTTTAAGACACAAATAATTTGCATGGTGTTCAAGGGCAGTAAAGCAATTGATAATGGTTGAATGCCATATTCCCTGCATGGTCGGGGCATTTCAATGAAACAATTACCGAACATCAATCACCCAAGCTTAACAATTAACTTCAGCCCTTAGCTATGTAATCTCAACTCCTCCCATGTAACTCAACCATGATTTAGAATCATATCCCAGTTAGAACTTAAACCTCTACCTTGATTTCCACATTTTATCTGCAGGCATTAGCTTATATACATGAATAGTCTGACAGCTTAATGCATATCCACTTTCGTTCAACCACATGAATTATCCCCACATGCAGCTCCGAAACATATTGTTGTAACAAAGATTTAAATATATAAAGATTAAATGGTTCAACATATACATGGAAATATCGATAGATTCATTCTCCTGTAATTCATTTCCAACCCAATTTAGAGAAACGGAGAAGTTTCTAAGGAGATGAGTTTCTGAAGCGAAAGTGGAATTATTACGGTACAGAAATCCATAAACTCAAATGGAAAGTAATTTTCAGATAAATAGCAAAAATAAATAAAAAAGCTAACTAAAGAAAATTTCAATCAAGAAGAGAGCAAGCCTGACCTGATAATGATACTACTAGAGGAAGAGGAGCGAGGTTTTGACTTTAGTTTTGAATAGTGTCCGGGAGGGTTTAATTAGGGGGAGCGAAAGCTTAAAAGTATTATTGAGGCGTCAATTAGGATTTTCTTCTTATGACCTGAGAAAAAGAGGATAACAAGAACTGTGACAGCCAATTGTGGACATTACAGCTTCTAGTAAAATTTAAGGCAAACAAGAGCCTCATGCGTCAAGTTTTTCTTGCAAGAAACGCCAACCACACCTTAGATGCCACCAAACAAAAGAAACGGTGATGGTGGCTATCTTTGCTGCTTCCAGTTTTTCGCATCTCAAGGAGGGGGATCGATCATTTGAAGGAATATTTTTTTAAAATTTTCATATAAAATAACCAAAAAATATAAAATAATAATATCATAAATATTGCATAATCAATTAGTCTCTTATGTTTTTTATAATTACTTCTTATCTTAATATAAAATCTTTTTTTTAATGACTTATTACTCTTAGTTTCAAAACTATTGCATTCTTCTAAAATTCTTTAAATTTGGGGATAGAGAATTGGATTAAAATTGTAAATTAATTATTTTACTTTTTATATAAATTTCAATAAATAAAAATCTATTTTAGAATTTTTAACAAAATATTTATAATAATGTTAAAAATTAGGCTGAATAATTGATAAGAGAGTTCTCTATAACTTTTTTAAAGGGGTGTATATGTAATTTTAATAACATCAAAAGTGAGTCAATTTATTTTACTTTCTTCTTTATAAAATAATTAGAAGATGGCGTTGGTCTTCCACGTGCTTAGAATTCTAGCAACTGAAAATGTAAAAATAAATTATATTGCTTCTATTAATGAAGATTGGTCCAATTGATAAATATTTGATTTACAAGCTATAAGATTATGAGTTTAAATCTCACTATTAATGTGACTAATCCCATGGAAAATTATAAGCACATGTGCTTAGTAAAATAATAATTGTAACAACAAAAGTGCATCTTATAATTTTTTGACCAACTAAAGTCCATATTATAATAACTATAAAAAAAAAAAAAAACTAGTTGAGTAGTTCATATTGATCACCAATTCACAATAACTTGGACTTGATTTCCAGCATTGCAAGGCAGATACCCTAACTGTTTAGGACAACAAATTATTGCCGAGTGAAATAGGCAATCTTGTATACCAATTAGAGAAAACGAGATATAAGGATTCAAAAACCATAAAATAATTAATTAAATTTTTTAAGAATTAATTGTTTAAAACATTGAAAATAATATTTCTTAATAATTTTTTAGTAAAAACAAATAATTAGTCCCTAAATTTTAAATATTTTAGCCATGTGTATTACATTAATCTAACATAAAAAATAAATAAAAATTTATCTTTTAAAACAATAAAATCATGCACTATTGATAACAAAAAAACATGGATAAAACTAATATGAACATAAATATTTAAAATTTTATGCAGTGATAATAACATTTTTTTTTGTTATCAATACCTCAACTATTCAAAAAATACAAGAAATTTATTATTTTTTTAATGATATTTTTTAGTTGAATGACATTTAACTCTCATGAAAAAAATAATATAATTAACAATAGGAGATTTTGAAAAATAAAATTAAAGGTTAGGGAATTAATTTTAAACTTTTCAAAGTGAAGGAAGTTACATATAACTATTTTAAAATTCAGAGAGATATTATGCATTTTAACTTTTTTTTTTTTTTTCCCAATTTCTATATTTTTTTCTGTCCAATACGTTAGTCCTCCGATGCCTATGGTGTTAAATTCATTGAGATGTAATCAATACCCTATGATGTTGATGTGTTATATTTGTGTTCAATTGGTAAGAAGAGTCATCAAATGAGCTGGATTAGAAAGATTAGAATTAACAACTTGTAGTGGTATTGTACAAAATGACAAAGGTAATTAGACTAAATGATTTTTCAAATATTTTGGCTGCCAACTTAACACCACCGCAAAACTTTTGAACATCTTAAAAAAACTTTAGCTTTGTTGGAATGTGCCATTTATTAAAATTAATATTCATTCTAATTTTATAGAAGCCATTTTACTTATTCAATATAATCTCTCTAATGATACCCTCTTTTAAAAACTATCAAGAAAGTCAGAAATTTTTTCATGAAAGATTAGATCATTATTTTCAATCACATGTGGAGGAAAGCAAACAAATGTGTTAACATACTTGCTCATTAAGCCTTTCAAAAAAACTAAATCTTGTTAATTTTAACCATCCACTTTGAGGATGTAGATCACTTACAAAATCTCACATGACCTGCTTTTTATTTCCCTCTAACGCTGGTTTTCTGTGACATTATATATATATTTTTTTAAAAAAATCAAAACTAGGCCTAAAAAATATCTGCCAGTTATCAAACGATAGAGCCTTTTCTCAAGCATATAGGGCATTGGACCCCCACCTTGCGTGCGCTGATTTGGACTCCAGAGAGCCAGTCAGACAGTGACGCAGACTCGCCGGAACAGTGAATCTGAGACGTAGTTGCCAACGGCTCTCTTTGACAGCAACGATTCCAGATTTCTGTCGCTCTGAATCCATCGAAGGAAGGCATGTGACCTGATTGTTCATTTTATTTTTCTACATTTTCATCTATTTCAGGGTATTTTCCAGAATGGCGTGCGCCTGCTGATTGGCATTGCAGATGTTCCTGCTTGGTATGATTCAGACAGGACATCGAGTGCATGTACAAGGATCTCAGAGGCGTACTGCCTGGGAAAGTTCTCACTGTTGCGGCTCTATGCCCTGCGATCGTTTTAACTTCGAAGAGTATTTTAGTTTAAGAAAGTTCTACTTCCTCTAGCGCCAAAACCAAAAGAACTATGCATGTCATTATTTTAATTTTCTGCTCAATTAATAATTATAACTTAAAGGAAAATAAATAATAATTTTAAAAATTAAAAGCAGTACTTTCTTTTATAAAAAATTATTTGTTCCCCCTTGATTGAAATTCTAAGAGCACTTCAACCGAAACAACAACGAAAACACGAGCAAGAGAAGAAATTCTGACACTGCCTCTTGAGTTCCATGCTTCACATTTTGTTCAATTAACAATTATTCTCCTCACAGTCACGTAACTATTAAAGCACCTTGCATTCATAATATTATAATCAATAATTACTTATTTTTTCACCAATATACATTTTTCATGCCCCTACATCGGACCTGCGAGAAAAATCTAGTTTTAAGTAAGATATGCCCTCAAGTTCAATTATTATTAACAAATTATGAGCGCGCGCATTATACTGATTAGTATCCACTAACCACAAATTACTTAATAATGATAGAATATTTGGGCCTGTTTGATTACAAGAGAGAAATGGAATAGAATGGAAATTTATAGAAAATAAAGTTAACTAAAATAAATTTGTCAGATGATAAAGAGATGGATAGAACAGAAAAATTAAACTTACAAAGTAATAGAGGGTGCAAAGCAATTCTGCATCACAACCTAGCAAGCGTGCTGCGTCAATCAACAAAGATTCCTGCCTAGAAGTCCAAAGTCCAAACACAAAGCAAAATTAAATACAGTCCGATGAAAAAATCCTCAAAAGTCAAAACTACGGTCAGTCCATTGCGTTCTTACGTCTTTCACGACAAGTCTTTCCGAAGAATTCAATCTCGGCAACAACCATTCCAATGTAAAGAACGAGCAGTTTTCATGATTGCTCATAACACGATAATCATCTGAAAAGCAACATTCATATGCTGAATTGGTGATTAATGATTAAAGCAATGGCCCACTATTGTTGATCAGTATGAATAGACACTAACCTGAAGCACGAACGAGAATTCGGTGTGTAACAAAGGCCTGCAATGAGCGGAGGCACATCACACAACAACAACAACAACAACAACAAGCCCAAGTCGGAAATTAAGACAGGATTAGGAGCCATCATGAGTTTTGACAACCAGCTCAATATTTTAGGACAATTCACTTTTTGAAGTTAGCTCAACACCGCTTGTCTAGGCATAAAACTTAAAGTCTCGATCTATAAACAGTTAGACTATATTATCTGAAATCGAAGACCGGTACATCTCCACTTATCGTTTTCATCTCCTCATTTCTGTCCTAACATGTCCAATCATTTCTCCGCTTTAACAGTCATTTTAATTTTCTTTTCATTTCTATTCAGAAGCACGCAAAATTGTCGGGTATTTTACGTAGCTTTACCTGCCAGACAGAAGGCATATACTCACGATACTGAATAGGTTGATCATTTCTAGTCACATTCCTCGAAACTCTTTCAGCTTGCTGATTATCTTTGATGAAGTTCCTGCCATACAATATTAATGTACATACAATCGTGAATTAAAAGATACTGGAATTGAGTTTTTTTTTTCCAAAAAAAAAAAAAAAAAACAGACTGCCTTACAGAGGACATGCTTGATGAATTATGAAAAGATGAAGCGACAAAGTACTGCCAGGTTTGCTAAAAAGGAACCCGATGAATCATTATTACGGTGTGAAGGATTGCTGGGTTTTGGTGGCCAAAATATATATATATATATAAGTTCAATTAATGGCTTCATGGGAGGGAAGCTTATTAATTAATTACTAGTATTGTGGAGCTGGTTAATTTAAAAATTCAAACAATCGATTCGGTCTTTAAATTTCTTTATTTTCCCACACATTTTGTAAACTACCGAAGGAAAGCTATTTTAGTAAGAAAACTGGAAGTTTGGCATAAGAGCGTGGTCTCCCTAATTTTAAAATTAACTAACACTCGTCTGTGTGAATATTCCCCCATGCAAAAAAAGAAATCTCTCTCTCTCTCACTCGCTCTCACTCACACACACACACACACACACTTGTGAGTGCCTTCTGCTGTGAATATTCATTCAAATTTGGTTCAAACTGTAACTCAATTCAACCGCGTGGCTTGTGATCTTTAATCTGGAAACACTGGCATGCATTCGTAAAACCAATTTATAATATAGCAACCTTATACCTAAATCAAAAGATATCCTTCTACTCTTACAATCTACGTGAAATACGAGAGTTCTGCTTCAATCCTATTTCGCATATTAAAAGATGCATGACTTAAAATTGCCAAACCCATTGAAGCACTCACCACTTCACCACATTTGAAGAAGTAGAATATCTATCCATAAAAATGGCCGACTTTGTTGCTATAATAAGCATGGGATGCATCTGAGTAACTTTTTTAATCTCCTGAACTACTGCTTCTGACACAGTCTGAGGAAAAAGGTTTTTCCTGATCAATTTTAAAATCTGCAAGTTAAACCCAGCAGATATCTCAAGATATACCACTAGATGATGACAAACGTGAGTAGGGAGGGACTCCTCAACATCAGTACATGTCCAGCTGACAGCTAATTACAAATTTGCCACTATATTAAAGACTCTACCTTCACAGATAAGAGAAGGACCACTTCACTACATATGCAGCCTTTAATCTAACTATCTTTAGTATGCAACAGGCTGAGAGCCCACAGTATATATATATTCACTAGAGGGGCGGTTTCAACTTTGGGAAATTAGTAATGGATCGGGAAAGTTGACATAACATATATTGATGAGAAAATGGTAGAAGATTATTTAAGATGGTTTGATCTTATATAAAGAAGGCCGATAGAGGTGTCAATGAAAAGTGAGCATATAGTCTTTAGCCCTATAAAGAGAGATAGAGGGAGACTGACAAGTACACTCAAGGAAGCTATCAATTGAGATCAATTGGTAAAATGGTACATCAGAAAAGTTGGTTGTGAATAGAATGCAATGATGGCATGTGATCCATGTAGCTGACTACACTTCATAGAATAAGTCTTGTAGGAATGGTGGTGATGGTGTTGTGATTACAATTATTTGATAGGGCCCCACCGCCCTAACAACCTTAATCATGTGCAGCAGTAGGAAGAAATGGGCAAGGATAGAATATATAGTGGGGGAAGTGGGAGAAGTGTTCTAAGCCAGTATTAAGTAATGCGTAGTCATGGGTAATTATGTTCAGTAATTTAGGACTGAATTATATTTTATAAATGGGTGTAGGATCAGTGTGATAGGCCCGCTTATGAAGTATCTGTATTTGTACAGGAGATTCTTCACTGGTTTATCAGAGTAACTGATGTTTCAGATTCTGGCATTAATTCCTCAATAAAATTCTACTTATTCCATCTCTGAAACTCAAAATCTATCATTATTCAATATACCTGTGATTTTAACTTTTTAAGGCCTGCTCTAGAAAAGGGGGAGGTCAATTTAGCTATTATTTCAGTATGGAGACTGCTTTGGTAATTCTGTATATGGCAGTGACCAGGAATGTTATGCAATTATGGCTGTTGCGGCGTCAGACAAAGCTGTAATTCGGATAGGATGGATAGTGGAGTCCAAAACCTTGTACAATAAGTAGTTAAGGTCATAATCATCTCTTTATAATTCTTACTATAAAGGGTAAATGTGGCTTGATTCCATTTTATAATGCAATTCCTTAAAACAATGTAAGTAATAACCTGCAGGATAAACGTTGTAGCATCAGGTGGAGTATTATAGGATAAAGCATCCCTGAATACTGCGGTAAACCATGCTTATACAAATTACCTGATGCCATAATGTAGTCTCCTGTGAAAAACACCATAACCAATTACCACGTACTAATCAGATTTCTTAGACCCAAATCTCCCTAGTATCCTTTGTCAGCTCAACCCCCCTTGACCAAAGAAAATCCCACGCAACCTTTCTAACCTCTGACCCACCCCAACTGGCGTTCAATATAAAGAAAGACAAAGGGAAAACTAAACAAACCAGATGAAATAGCAACAGTGTGAACCCCAAAAGACACAACAGCTATTTCCAACAATATCCAAAGGCTTGGAAACTTTCTGAATAATCGAATCCCAAAATGATGTTGCCTTTAGGTTTCTTCCGAAAGGAATACACATAAATGAGGATCCAATGGAGGACACACCTAGCCAGAAAGGCAAATGTAATATCATGGTCTTTGTTTTACTATATTGTTCCTTGAGTATCAACAATTGAACTGAACTGAACAGTGAAATTATGGTTCCATCCATATTGCGGCTTGAATTTATTAACATAAGAAATAGCTTAAGCAAAAGAACAGTAGAATGAGAAAAAGAAAAGGCAAAAGAGATTGGGAATGTAAATTCAAAATAGCACTCATTCTTTGTAACTCCAATAGAAGGCATCAAAGAGGCCATGAGCTGAACCTACAAGAAAGAAAAAGAGGCTATGCTGTTCCAAGGAAGCTTCACACTCAAGGATTGTTTGTTTCTTTTTTTTCTTTTTCTTTTTTTAATTCCTAGGAAGTCCAAACTATTTCTCAAAAAAAATAGCATTTTTTGATGTTAAGGGCAAAAACACTCTTTTTGTTGGATACGGTTCCTCATGGTTTTGGGCATAAAGCCCAGTCATGCTAGACCTATTTTTCCTTTCTCAGAAGCCAACAGCAGACACTTTGTATGACCATTATTAGTCTTTATTTTATTAAATATTTTAGGAGATAATTTAGAGATTTAATTAGTTTTATTCTCTCCTATTTTTATCTATACATGTATCAGCTTTCTTTCAATAACAAGAAGAAGAAACCGCCTTATCTCACTAGGTGGGATCGTCTAGACTTTCTTTCAATAAAATACAGAGAAATTATTCAGCAAATAATTTCTTGGTACCAGAGCCAGCATCACAGCTCTTTCGTCTTCTCCTTCTTCGATTTCTTCTTGAGCAATGTCTTTCATAGGTGCTCTTACGAACCAGCAGCCTTGTGTGTTCTAGACTAGTGACAGCAGCAATAAGAACACTATGGATGAGACTGGGTTAAAGGGAGTGAATTATGACAGTGGGGGTCAAGTATGTTTCCAAGGACATTGCGACAGCAACAAACGCTCTCTTGCAACTCACTATTACCCATTGACTGAATAGGAATAATTATCTACAGTGTTCGTACAACACTCTCATGGTTACATGAGAGAGAAATAAGGAGAAATACTTCACAAGTATTCCTCCACCACCACCCCCCGATGATGCTCAGTATGGAGTTTGGGTTGCTGAAAACAATATGGTGATAGCTTGGCTCATAAACTCCATGACAATGGAAATAAGTGAGAATTATTAGTTGGCAACCACCGCCAAGGAAATCTAGGAATCAGTGTAGAACACTTACTCTGTTCGAGAAAATATGATTGCCATTTTCCAGGTAAGATGTTCCCTTCAAAATGACAAATTTGTGACCCAATACCATACTGCTCTGATGAAATTCTAGCAGCAAATTGATCTTTATGAGATCCACGAGTAGTCCTACCACAGGGACAGAATTTATTTGGAGGTTTGAAGCCCCTTCCCACATTGGAAGAAACCTTCAATATGTTACAATGTGAGGAGAGAAGGAAAGCACTGACTCAAAGCTCCACAGTACCAAACTCAATCCCAAAAGATGCTTCTGCACTTGCTGCCCGAGGGACCTAGGTAGAATATGAAAGGTAAGAAATCTAGAACATGGTGTGATCATTGCAACAGGGGTGGCATACCAAGGACGATTGCTGGAAATTACATGGCAAACCCCCAAATTCAAAAACAAAGCCTAAGAATGAAGGAAAAGGGCTCATGGTGAGTACTGTTGACTCGAAAAGTGGCTTGTTGAGCGCTGAGGAATTATCTATGCTTTGAAAAATACAGGAAAAAACATGCTTCTTCAACTGCTACAAATGTAGGTGAGGCAGAAACTCCTTCTATGACCTTAGCATAATTAGGTACTGCCCTTACCAAAGCTCTAAATGGAATAACAAAAACAAAAAATATTTGGACAGTGGATACAGGTGCAACAGAACATATAATAGGGTTCAGAGAACTATTTTCTGATTTTAGTGAATATTCTGAGCATAAATTTGTTAAAGTAGCTAATGGTGAATATGCAAAAGTCATGGGTCAAGGAACTGTAGCTATTTCTAAACATATTATCTTAAAAAACGTCTTATTTGTTCCAACTATTAAGTGTAGTCTTTTATCTATAAGCTGTATTGCGACTCAAGCAAATTGCTTGGTAACATTTGACAAAAATGGGTGTGATTTTCAAGACTTGGCCTTGGGGAAAATGATTGGCAATGCTATAGAGTGAAATGGGCTGTACTACATCCATGGACTGTTATCAAATAAAACCCATGTTGTCCGCTCATTTATGACTAGTATAGACATTGTTTCGTGGCACCCTAGGCTAGGCCACCTGAGTCCTCAATATCTGAAATTTCTGTTTCCAGAAATCAATAATAAAACTATCTCCAATTTTCATTGTGATATGTGCAACCTTGCAAAACAAGTTCGGACTTCCTTTCCTTCAAACAAGTATACTCCCACTCATCCTTTTTCTCTCATCCATAATGATATGTGGGGTCCATCTAAATTTGAAACAAATTCTCAGTCTAGATGGTTTGCACCCTTTATTGATAATTATACTCGGATAACATGGGTTTTTCTAATGAAAGATAAATCAGAGGTTTTCACAATTTTCAAAAATTTTCATGTCTTTATCCAAAATCAGTTTCAAAATCCATTAGAATTCTCCGAAGTGACAACAGAAGAGAATATTTGAATTCAAATTTCAACTTTTTTTTGGAAAGTCGCGGAATACACAATCAAACATCTTGTGCTTATTCTCCCCAACAAAAGGGTATATCCAAAAGGAAAAATAAACACTTACTTGAAGTTGCCCTTGTGCTTGGCAGAGACGTTCCTAATCGTTTGTTGGGGGGGCCACTATTCTTACCACTGCTTACTTGACAAATCATTTACCTTCTAAAACTCTAAATTTTCAAACCCCTCTTGAAAAATTTCTTGTGATCTATCCTAACTCCTATCTCACTACAACCCTTTCCAAACAAGTCTTTAGGTGCATAGCCTTTATATATAATGAGGGTGGGGGGAAATTGGATTCTCATGCCATTGAGTGTGTTTTCTTGAGCTATTCCTTTATCCAAAAAGGGTATAAATGCTATTCCCCAGTTACAAATACATTGTATGTCACCATGCATGTCAAATTTGTCGAACAACAACCTTTTTACCACAACCCCACCATTCAGGGGGGGGCAAGTAAATGGTCAATTTGTTTGTCTGAGAACCAACCTAATATTTTTTCTGCTCCTGATACTGGACAAAATGAACCCCATCTATTGGTAGATCTACCCATATATTTAAGTCACAATGATCCATCTCTTGAGATCATAATACTACATAAGTAAAATCTCCTAATACAGAAAGTTCATCAAATTATTCTAGATTTCAGGATATAAATTCTTTCAAACTCCTTAATATGCTCTGTGACTCTGAGACTCGGGTAGAAGAGGCCACCAATGTCACTGAGCAGCACCAAAGTACAGAAGATCCTGTTACCATTCCAATGCAAAACCATGAATTTGCACATGAGGAGAGTTTTGAAGAATTACATTGGCCCATTGCTTTGAGAAAGGGGAAGAGAAGCTGTACTAGACATCCAATTGTCAGGGATGTTTCGTATCAAAAACTATCTCCTCATATGAAGGCCTTTATGGCAAAAAGAAAACATTCCCAAGAACTTTGAGGAAGCTACATCTGATACTAAAAGGAAAACAGCTATAAAAGAAGAACTAAGGGCTCTACATAAAAATAAAGCATGGGAAATCACTGAGTTACCTACAAGAAAATCAATTGAGAAGTAAATGGGTTTTTACAGTAAAATATAATCTTGATGGGAGCGTGAACAAGTATAAGGCCCGTTTAGTTTCTTGGGGCTTTACTCAAACATATGGTATAGATTATAAAGAAACTTTTGCCCCTGTAGCAACTCTATAAAAGTTTTATTATCTCTTGCCACAAATTTAGACTGGCCTCTTCATCGACTTAATGTTAACAATGCTTTCCTCAATGGTGACCTTGAGGAAGAGGTTTATATGGAAATCCCCTTGGGATTGCAAAAATTCTAACAAGTATCACAAGGTTTGCAGGTTGATCAAATCTCTATACAGACTAAAACAGTCACCAAGGGCAAGGTTTGAGAAATTTACTCGAGGTATTAAAACTTGGGGATATAAACAACGATAGGCAAATTATACATTATTTGTTAAACATTGTGGTGATAAAATAACAACTCTCATTGTCTATGTTAATGACATAGTTTTCACAAGGAATGATGACAAAGAGTCACCCAGCTAAAGACCAACTTAGCAACAGCATTTGAGATCAAAAACCCTGGATCCATGGGATACTTCTTGGGTATGGAAGTGGCATGAACCCATAAGGGAATTATTGTGTCATGGCAAAAGTATGCCTTGGAAATATTAAAGGAAACAGGGATGTTGGAAGCAAAGCTTGCAAATTCTCCAATGGAGTTGAATCGAAAATTGACCATCAAATTTGACAGAATTGCAAAGACTAAACAGTTAGTCAATTCTCTAGCTATCCTTAAAAGGAGCATATGGCTGTTGTTTATAAGATACTCAAGTATCTAAAGAAGACTCTTGGATTGGGATTGTCCTTTGCAAAAGGTGACACTAGAGGTATAGAACTATTCACAGGTGCTAATTGGGATGGTTCAAAGGTGGATGGGCAATCCACCACTAGTTATTGCTCTTATGGGTGGAGCAACTTGGTAACCTAGAAAAGTAAGAAACAGCCAGCTGTTTCAAGAAGCTCCATTGAGTCAGAATATAGGGTACTCGCCCTAGGGACTTGTGAAGGAATGTAACTTGTCAGGCATACCATTGGGCCTAGTAAAGTATGGTGTGACAACATGTCTACAATCAAGATTGCCAATAATCTAGTGCACCATGATTGTACCAAGCACGTGGAAATCGATCGACACTTCATCAAAGAAAAACTGGATATGAAAATAATCAATCTATCTTATATTCCATTGGGACAACAGATTGCAGATGTCATGATGAAACCACCAACTCAAGAAAAATTTGAAGCATTCATAAGCAAGCTAGGAATGATCAATATCTACCCACCAACTTCACAGGGAGTGTTGGATATGGGTCCTCACAGTTTTGGGCCTAAAGCCCACTCACACTAGACCTATTTTTCCTCTCTTAAAAGTCTGCTACGGTCACTTTGTATGACCATTATTAGTTTTTATTTTATTAGATATTTTAGGAGATAATTTAGGGATTTAATTAGTTTTATTCTCTCCTATTTTTATGTATATATGTACTGACTTTCTTTCAATAAAATACAGACAAATTATTCAGCAAATAATTTCACTTTTAAACAAATTTTATTTCATAAGGGTAACATTGGTAATATATAATAAATACTAGGGAACTAAAACTTACTTGGCATAAAACTGTAAATTATTTATGTAGTTGCAAGGAAAGATGGAGGCCCAACGTCCCAAGAAGTTTAAGTCTTTTAATGATCTAAGTAATTAGAGTTTATTCACTTCCCAAGAAGTCTGACTTCCCCTCCTTACTTAACCCCAACCAAGCAACTACTTAGTTTTTTTCTCCAAGAAAACACAACAAATTTTTGCAAACAAAAAACACTAGCATAAAGCCTTGAGTTCCTTTCTTCACTCAACACTTTAGGCATGCAATGATTAAGCACTTTGCTCAAAGCATGTTTTGAGTAGAACCCCGTTTTAGTGAAAAAAGAATGAAGAAAACCATAGAAGAAAGATGCCATGAGCTCAAAACCAGTGGCATTGATACCATGTTAAAGTGCCAATAAGAAATAGAAAGCAACAATAATGTGATCATGGGGTTACTTTAAGTTCCTTATGTGTCTCCTGTCTATTTATAGCCATACAGCCAAGTACAAAGATAGGATGACGACGAAAAAGCCTCATCCTGCTGGGTGGAGTCGGCTACATGGATTGCATGGCGCCATTATACTCTTTTATTAACCAAGTTTTTAAGAACATTGTTAACTAAGAGGTCTCATTCAACAACTTCCATAAATACTTCCTCTGGTCTTCTTCTACCTCTCTTAACAAGGCTCAAGATTATCCGTTCCACTTTTCTCACCAATGCCTCTCGTGGCCTTTAACATGCCAATTAGCATAAATCCAGCCTACTGATAGTTGAAACATGCCAATTCTTTAACCTATATGTCGTGCTATTCTAATCATAACAATGTCAAGATTTGATGATATTCTCATAAGAAAGGGAAGAGTTACTGTTGGTGTTGACATATGAAAAGAAATTAAATCATGAGTTACGGATTCTCTTAATTCTGCTTCCATTATTATTAAGCGTGTGTTTTTCATGATTTATTGGTTCCTTTTAAACCCTTTTGATGTACTTTTAGTCAGCCTGGTGATGAAATAAATATATCATTATTCCTTCCTCTCCCCACCCACCCACCTGCTGACCAACAAAAAAAAAAAAAAATCTCAGCCAGTGTTACGTCAAGGTTACTTTAAAGCATGAACAAGTCAGAAAAATATCATTAAAAATAATAGTAAACATGCAATTGCTCAAAATCCTACAAAATGATAGGGATGGTTGTTCTCAACTACCCAAAGCAGAGGCGTCACCTCTCATCCCTACCTACCTGAACCACCTATAAACAATTTTTTTCCACTAGAAAAGAGTTAAAAGAAACCAACCTGTCAATCATAAGCATGAGTGAACTAACCCCATGGTCTTCTTCCTCCTTTTGTAAGCGATAATGCAAAGTCTGTCTCACAACAATTTGATGAAAGAGTGTATATATATAAAAGCAAGAGATATGGTAAACCTAAACAGTGACACTCTACACAATTAACCATTGTAACAAGGAACAATTTTGGTGATAAAATTAAAACTTCTGAAGTACCCAAAAAAACCAAGGTTAAATTTGACAATATGCATATCATTTCCAAACAAGAAAAATAGGATTTATAGCTATAAGCTGCAATTCTTAATCACCACACTCACGACAAAGGCTATTACAAATTCTAAAAAAAAAAAAAAGAATTTGACATAGGACATGCCATCATAAAAAAAACAAAAGTTGAGGATAAAGTTCTCAATAACCTGTTTCACTCATGATTAATTCAATTTAGATTATCCATCATCCCACTAGGTCACTACTATTTGCAGTTATTAGGATTGAAGAACTTCACTTAGTTGGTTCTTTACCTTTAATCCTAGGGGTACTATAGTAATTCTTGAATCTTCTTGTCTTAGATAGTATATTGGCTTGGGTTTGTATAATCTTGGTGTCACTCGGTTGCTTTTTAATATTCAAATTTTCCTTGAGCTTGGTAGTATTATGAAGTATGAAACATAGAGGTTATAGATTTCATTCCCACCCCTTACATCATAGCTTCTGAAGCTTTTAAAAGGCTGATTCAAGTGTTCGCAATGCATTCTTTCAGAGTCACCCTATCCATAAAGACAACTTAATGCAGCTTTGCAAGTCCTTTTGTTTTTGGTTGATATTTGGTTTCTGGATGAATCTTAAGAACTCAATGGTAGCAAAAACAATCAAGAAAGCTATCAGACACTTCACACATATTGAAGGACAGTATCAGGATCAGCCGCATAACTTTATTAATTCAATGATCTGGTTTTAAGCATTCCAACAGAGCTCATACAAAAGAAAACCCCTAAACGCATGCTCTATATAGATGATAGTGTTAATTGAGAATTTAGGAAAATATATTAACTCTAAACTTAAGTTATAAAGATGGTCAATGGAATCAAAGGGTTTCTGCCAAAGTAGGAGCAAGACAAAATGTATGCACCACAATTTGAACAAGAGGCAACATAGAAATGATTTGAAGGTAAACATTGAAGAGTAGACCATACCACAAGTGTCAAAATTTAGGTCTCCGGATTGATATTACAAAGTGATGATGTAAATGATGAAGATATTATGCCCAAGTCTCAAGTTGGATGATTAAAATGGCCAAAGGTATCGACAGTCATTTGTGATCATAAAGTACCTACCAAGCTTAAAGGGTGGTCTTATCAAATTGTTATAAAACTTGCGACACTATATGATAGTGACTATCAGGCATTAAAAGAACAAAAAATAAGAGTATTAGAGATGAGAATAGAGATGAGAATATTAAGAATTAGGATAGATGTGGGGTCATACAAGAAAAATCAAGATCTGAGCTGATTGTATGCAAGAAAAAAGTTTGTGTGACACCTATCATGGAGAAAATGCCAAAATGGTAGAGAATCAGTTAATGTGGTTTGGAGATATTCAAAGAATTTAAGGGAGCTGTAGAACAAGATTTCACGGGGAATGATATTTATGAATAGTTAATTGTAGATAAAGTCCGAGACATTGTGCGATCATACAATAATGACCCTCACTTATAAAGATCATCCCTTTTTTTTTTTTTTAAGAAATAAGTTACAAGTGACTCCTCACCTTGAGAGTTTGAAGGAAATCAAAACTATTGTAGCAATGGATGTATAGGAAACGGCTCATACACAAATTATATAATGTCTTATAGTGATCTCCATCAACTGCCCCTGTTCCATCAAAGAGGACATATCAGCAATCTTTTAATTGATAGCTTTTATAGAAATGAGGAACTGAAAATTGCAATGCACCACACAACAAAACGATCTTGAGAGGCTATTATTATATGATGTATAATTTTACATATTCGAAGATCAAGTTAAAGAATAGAATTAGATAAAATGGTAAATGCCTGTTCATACATCCGATACACGTGCTACCTCATAAAGCAATAGTCAAAAGTGAGATAATACACGTACTACCCCACACAGATACATGCCAACAGAAGCAAACGCTACAACTCACCCTCAACTTCCATAATCCGATATTTCAGCATTTCCGAAAGACGCATGACATCAAAACGACAGTCCAGGTCGACGAAAACTACCAAACGATCCAACCCTCCATATTCTACGTCATTCCACCTTTTAGGAAGAATGCAACTGATTGCAGTCTGGATGTAAACAATACGAAAATCAAAACATATGATAGATGATACCATTATAAACGCCTTGCAACCAATTGCCACGACTCATTGAATCCCACAAGAAATGCACTTGGAAATAGAAATGTATTTGAAGCTGTGATAAATTTACTGGCATAACTTTTAATTTAACCCCTTGACTGCTAGTTCTACCTTCGGAGCAGCTGAGAGTGTACAATGAGAGATTCAGAGTGACTATAAGGATAGGACGAATAAAACATGGAAATAGGAACCTGAGTGAGAATGTGGGTTTTGGCAGAAGGCGACGGACCAATGAGCTCAACGACATTTCCGACGCGAAGAGGAACCCTATGAAGCGGGGGAGGAAGCAGAAAAGGTCGGGCCATTAAAACCCTAGCAAGCATCTGATTGGCATTTTCATCCCCGTCAATCCACCTCTCCATTAGGATCAGGAGACCAAATCTGGAATGCAATAACGAAAGTTGACGTATAAAGAGATGGCTTTCAGGTTTCATCTTTAAAGTGGTTTGGCCAAAAAAAAGTAGAAGTGGTTAATACGAGAAGGGAAATTAATCCTTTAAAACTTCAAAATTTAACTTAATTATTATATGTTTATCTCGTTTAAAATTTAATTCTTATTTTTTTACTGTTTAAAATTTTTTTAACTGTTCAAAAAAATTATTCTTATAATTTATATTCTATAGAAGGAGGGGAGCCCTCCCTTCCCTTCCTTTGGTTAGGAGGAGGGGAGGGGAAAATTTCTCTTCCCTTCCGTCCAAAGCCTCCCTTTCAAATTAGAGAGAACTCCCCTCCCTTCCCCCTCCTCCCCCTCCCCTTCCCTTCTCTCTTTTCACTTTTCCTTCCCTCCCCTTTCTTGAATCAAACAGATTCATAATCTTCTTGAGTCATTATTCAATTATTTGGCAAGAAAAAAATGTATTATGAATCAATATCAAGGTTAGCCAAAGGGGGAAATTGAAGGGAAGAGTCATTTAGGCTTGGCCGAAGAAGGAAGTAAAAAAGAAGAGGATTATTTGGGCGAAGAAGTTTGATTTTTAGAGATTGTGACATTAGATTGTTGCTTATGACTTCGAGTTCTTCCAATGATCGTGTAGCCTTTTAATTTCTAAGCTGTTATCGTGAGCCGCTAGCATCTTCAAACTTCAGACTTGTAAATCATCAATGACCTCTCAAAATGGGTAGGTAAATGGTATAATTATAGAGTAAGAAGATAAGATTAAAGAGCTAGAGAAGAGGGTTTAAAGCATAGAAGAATTTCAGAGCAAAGGAAGAGATTACGGAGCAAGTTGTAGCTTCATATGTTTCTTGAAAACTAGAGCTTCAATCTTCCGGATGCAAGTTCTTGCCTCATGGATCTTAAAGGTAATTTCAATATTATTTTTTCTCTAATTTTTAGGACATTCTTTTCTAGTGGAAATTCACGCTAAAACTCTTCAAAATAAATCCTATTTCAAAGACAATATGTTACTTGTTGTTTGGTTTATCTCCATAAACTCCCAAAAGCATGCCCTATAGTTCGGAATTTGAGCATAAAATCAACCGGGGGCATCATTTAGCCACCAAACTTGTTTAACCCTAGAAAGGCATGTGCAAAACATAAATTTTTTAAAGGCTAGAACCGAATCTTGACAGGCTGATATGAATCTCCTCTATAGTTCGGGATTCCGTTGACGTTTTTCTTCTTCACCTCTATACTCTTCTTTGTCATGTATTCACATCTTCCTTAGCACTTTGGTTTGTTTATCGCTGACTCACCGGCTAGGTTTGTTTCTTTAAAATTTTCTTTTTCGATAAACCCCATGGAGTCGTGCCATCTAGCTAGCTTGTAGATGAATGCCTTTTTTCTCAATTTTTTGTGAAATTCACATGGAGTTTACACAGAAGCTATAGTAACAATGTTTAACAATGTTACTAACGTTTTCTATTAAGTAAAATGATTGGTTGATGACTCATGATGAGTTAAGAATATTACAGATTAATTTTTAAAATGGTTGAAAAATGAAGGACGGCAATACAGCATTTTAATTAAATTAAAAGTTTAGGAACTGAGTTGTACTGAATTATATTAAAAGACTAGATCATAATTGAATCAAATATTACTCTTTGAAATAATAGTTTATCACTCTATCTCCTTACTCTACCCAAATTGTTTTCTTTTTTAGTTACAAAGACGAGACAATGCCATCGTGATCAAAATTGGATCGGACCAGGCAATTCAATAGGATGAACTAGGAATTGGTCCTATCATAGCAAAGAACTAGTCAAGAACTAGTATTGAATCGATCAAAACTAGTAAAATTGGTGAGAAATCAAGTTGACCAATTTTTATTTTTCTTCAATTTTTTTAAATTTAATTCACATTTAAAAACTATAATTTATACATATTTATATCTAATAAGCATTGAAATGTAAGAAATATGTATAGAATATGTATATATTTTAAAGTTATAAATTATAAATTATAAAATAAGTATATATATTAGATTTAAATGATGGAATACTAATTTGTATTACCTTTTTTATTTTATATTATCTTGTTTGAAATTTAAAAATTTATTTTTATTATTGATTATAATTATTCCTTTTTATTTTAAGTATATATTATTTAAAATATATTAATTTATTCATAACCTATTGAATCACGATTCAAATTGCAATCTAACTATTGCCAATTCAATGATTGATTTAGTTTTCTTAACATTGGATAAAGTTTGAGAAGTTACAAAAAAGCATTATGAGAAACTACTCCTATCTAAAGACATCATGTCGAGGCACCTTGTAGGGCAATTCAGAATTGTAATCAAGTATTCCTAAAGTATATGAGCACTTTTAGCTAAGAAATCAATGCATCCAAGAATCTCCCTAGAATAATACTTTACAATAGTTTCCCAATCATTGTAGATTAAATCTCCGATCGCATTAATCTCTTCCCGAAGTGGGTGATCAACAACACAATCTTTAAAATTGATATTATAAAGCATTAAGAGAATCCAAAAACATTTAGATTTTCTAAAAACCTTGTTGTAAGCATATCTCAAGACCTATTCTTAGTGCTAAAAGTTCAGTTGTCATGACTGAAATTTGTCTAAGCTTACTTTAGAATCACATCACTTAATTACTTTTGTCATTTTTTATGATTGTACTACAAGCTGCTTCCTTAAAAATGTTCATTGAAGCATCCACATGAATGCATATATAGTCTTATGGGGGAGGTTTCCATTGGTCAGTGTTATCTAAGAGTCCTTAGAATATAGCATACTTAAGTTTATCATTACTCACTTACTCCATAAGATGGTAAAGTCCTTGATGCAAAATAGTTTTTGGTGAGATAGTAATCCCTTCAAAGATTCTCTGGCATCTAGTTTTACAAAGCAACAAACAAATGTAACCAAAAACCTTAATCCAAGGCCATTTATTGAAAGTAGAGTTCCCTGCCTTATGGGTAGCATTCCAGCAAAGCCAAGCTTGTAAATCATGAGAAAAGAAAGCAAATAAATTGTTAGTGTTTAAAATACTCTCCTAAACTCTCCTTTTCGGTCTATCTCATAGTTATGAAGTATATGAAGTATACTTCCCTCACAATGGCACTCAAGGACACTTAATGTTTGAAGTCAACCTTATTTTTTCCCCTGAGTGAATTGGTTAATAACCACTTATGAGTAGCTTGTCGGAGAAAAAATTTAGTTTTTTTCTCCAAAAGAGGCCATTTGCAAATTTTCACCCACATAGGCCTAACATTCCCATATCTTTTGCTATACAAGAAATTATAGATTGCTTTAACACTAAGACCCTGTTTGGTAGGTAGTATTGAGAGGTTAAGATTATGATTGTGATTGAGTTAATCCACTAATACAATGTTTGGTACATTAAATTAGTTGCTACTTAGGATTAATAAAACCCTTGTAGGTAAGATTGGAGAAACCTATGGGGAAGTGATAATGAAAATTTTAATCTTGGGATTGAAACTTGTCAAACTAAAATGCCCTCCCTTCTCATCAAGCCTTCATCGAGAATGTCACCTCTATCTCCTTCTCCTCCCTCTCTAGTTGCCTTATCCTTCCTTTGTGCATGGTGAATGGCTGCTCATTAGAGATGGCGAGCAATGGCATTATATAATGTCCTTTAACATTAATAAAAGATAACCACAATCTCTAAAATCAATAAGTTATTGTAGGAAGATAGTGAAGGAATATAAAATCAACCTTAACTATTTAAAAACTCTAAAGATTAATTAAAAGTACTTTTGAGTAAATAAGATCCCAAGTAAAAGAATTTGAATTTGAAAACAATAAGATAAGCCCATTGAAAACATTTAAAATCAAAGTACACAAAGTCACAGAAGCTTAGAAATAGTAATTGAGCATTAAAATAAGTTATGTAAGGGTAAAAGAGTCAATTTTCATAAATGAAGACCACCCACTGTAAGGTTTCCCTTACTAATCCACAATTAACTTCAAAATCAAGACAATCATAAGACTAATCTAAGTAAATTATCAAATTTATAAAATTTACATAAATAGAATTCTAAGTTTTCAAACTTAAAATGCTATAATATCAAATTGGGATCAAAAGAGCAAAAATAGTAATTCTAGCACAATATGCCGTGGTATAAAATTTTATGCGGCGCGTAACGTGTAGAATCCATGATAGCACATAGGAGATTTTTTAGCCTAACTTTCGATGAGCCCCATTTCTTTGTTCGATATCTAATTGAGTGGTTTAGGTTTCTACATAAAGCTTTGTCTAAGCTTTAACTAATGGCGCTGGTTTTACTTTCTAATCTTTTTTTGATCAAAAGTTGGACATCAAAATATAAACTTACTCATTTTTACTTTCAAAACATAACTAGGATGTTCAAAATTATAACCAAGTACTATAAGCTCACAACCACCCCTAAACCACACTCAATAGACTCAGTAAGACTTGTGCAATATACCACAACACTCCAATAATATGCACAACACATTTTTAATGCTCAACTCCTTAATCTCAAAAATGATAAGGAGAGTCTCAATTATGCAATTCCATATCTAAATCATTATCATTCATAAATATACTTACTCCTTACTTGCACAAGTATTTTGACTTTATTTAGATTTCACATTTAACTCACATACAACTTGGGCTCAAAATACATAACTTAAATCAAAAATCAAATTGTGTTAATAAGAAAAAACATGCAATCTCTTGGTTAGCATTATCAAGATAAATTATACACATCAATTCTTAAAATAAACAAAGCGTACAAATCTATGATAAAAATCCTAAGTCTCATACTATTCCCTCAAACTTGTCTTGTTGAGCTAGTGCCTGTAATATTAAAGAGAGAGGAATGAGTACAGCTACTCAATAACTGAGATTAATCTAGCCTATACAAATGTATGTTAATTAATCAAAGTAATGTAAATGGAATATTCAAATGAAATATATTCACATATTAAACCACCCAATTCATAAAGTTACAAAACTAACAACCATGTGACA